GAGTTTCTTGCTTTTAATATCACATGACATTTTAATTTTTGAAGAAAAAAATTGCCCTCCCCCCCTTACAACAGGTGATGCTGGAACCTAGTATTTTAATAGGAAAAACATAAGTTTCTTTCAGATACTTTCTTCTGATTCATATAACAGCATTTACCATTTAAAATATATGCTGCTTGCCATGCCAATCACCTTATTAATACAGTATAGGTATAGAGAACAAGTCATTAAGTTCCTTATTATATAAGTTTTTCCAGTCATTTTACTACCTGAATTATCCTGACTCCAAACATTTTCTTGAGCGCCTTGTTCTCGAACACCTCCAGCCTTTGTGTAACTAACTCTCTAGTAATAGTAACACAAACTTCATCATTGCCTTCTTAAAATATATGTACCTGTGCGTTTGCAGATGATTACTGAAAACATTCCTCATCGCCACCAGATAATGCTCCACACCATCCACAGTAAGCCGATACATGCCCAGGTACTGAGGAAGCAGCGTCTTTCCATGACGCTCTACAATGTACTGTATCAATAAACATACTTTAAATTTATCTTCCTGCTTTCTTATATGAAAACAAAGATATCTGTTACTGCAAATATACATATCACATGTCTGTTGACAACGTTGTTCTTCAGGGTTGTATGATGTGTAGACTCATAGGTAGATGCCAACATTTAAGAGAAACAAATCTACGTGACATCACAACTCAGAAGATCATCAACATCCCCACTGCAATGAGAATCTCATATCTCATATGTCTGTTGTTACAAAGCCACAAACAGTTATTTTAACTGTTGCAAGACAGTCACAGTTTTTTCCTCCACTGAACAAACTCAAGACTTGAAAGGCATTTATTTCTAAGCACAAGATCTTATTGTGTAGGGAGGGGGGTGGGAACTATTAACTAATGATGGTAAGCCGAACCTCTATGTCAGAAAGCGAACAAGTACGTACACAGTCCATTAAGAACATCAATTGTTTATGCTTATGGGTCTATCTATATGATTTTAGAAATGAGAATAACTCATGATATCATTAATTTTCTATTAACCCTTTCAAGGTCCAGTTAATTAGTGTTTTAGCATGTGAAGTGACAGGAGAACAGCAAGATTTTCTGTTTAATCTTGACTGCAAACAGTTATGATGCACCTGTGTATGTACATTTTACACCACGGCCACCGACAATTAAGCATAGATCATTAAAAAAGCAAATCTAAATTCTATTCTTAATTTATATGAATTTGATTTATATATCCTTTATGTTGTATATTTTTAAACTGTTTGTTATAATATCACAGGACAACTGTCTGCACTGTACAATGGTAAAAATACACTGGTTGATTGCTGATTTTCTTTTGTAAATCACAGAAATGTATGGATATGTAAAGCAGGAAGGGAGCAATATAGTTCTGTTCATACCGGCAAATGATAAATGCCATGTGTGTAGACTATAATCCATAGTAAAAAATATTACAAAATACTACATAACACCCATGTACATGCTTAAGGCAAAAGTGATAGTATGTATACTGACAATGAAATTGTAAACCTGCATGTAGACCTACAAAATGCAATGACGTGCTCTAAAATTCACAATTCTAACTTCCTGAGTCTTAGTTCATGTAACAATGATGTTTCAAATACAGACGCTACACCGCATAAACTGAGATAAAAAGATAAGTTTTTAATGTACTATCCCAGCATTCACCTTGTAAGACTGAGGAAAACCACTACAAAACCCCAGTCATAATATGATAGCAGTAACTCAGTGAATAAAGTTCTGAATTTCAATTAAGAGCTCCTACCGCCATAGAACTATCTATCGCTTACTGGATGGTAGTGCTTCAGAAAGGAGTGCATCCTTTCTACTTCCTCACTGGTGAGAGACTTGAGTATGAAGAGA